CCCTAGAGGGAAAGGGAGTTGGCCAGGGACAAGGAAGAGATTCAAGGGGAGAGTAAGCAATGGGGTCCTACCCTAGATTAGAGAGTTTACAAGAGGCCTAGAGGGGGATGTAGCCATGGGGAACAGAGGAATCTCCAGGGTTAAACCAGAGATTGGCCAGGTGATAGAGAGGTAGGGTAGGAAGGACTCCAGGGAAATAGCAACAGTGTCTGAGATTGAGCAGATCTGGAAATTCTCATTTTAGGGTCCCTGGGCTGGAATCCAGAGTAGCGGGTGGGCCTGGGCTCCACTACCAACTGCTGGAAAGTGGCACAGGATCTGGAGAGTTGGAATGGAAAACTGCCTGAGACAATGTCTGCACAGCTAGTATGGTGGGAATTTGTTACCCTGGCAGGGGGAAACGTCATAGCGACCTGACCAGAGGGCTGAGTCACAAAGAGGGAGCATCCCAAGCAGGGCTGGATTATCCAATAGGCAGACTAAGCACCTGCTTAGGGCACCAGCAAAGCAGGGGGCACCAAAAAAATGAGATATTAACAAAAAAATTGATATTTGATATTTCAAAAAAAGCATCGAAGTAGTCATCATGGGAAAAATCAGAACTTTGTTAGACTTCCACTACACACTCTTCCCCCATTTTTCTGTTCTCTTTTTATTACTTATCCCCACCTAAACCAGGGGGGGCGTCCTACTGACGTAGATCAAAATAATGCAAGGAAATCAGAGACTGTAACTGACCATCCTACTCCTGGAGTAAAACAGACATTGTTCTAGAAGGTGTGGATGTGTCAGAGACTGAACCTGCTCATGCTGTAAATAATAGGAGAAAAGATCCTGGTATGTGGGTTGATTTCAGTACCAATGATGTAGCTTACTGGATAGATCGTGGACCAAATGACTGTCAACACCACACTGGGCCATTTGAAAAATCATGTCGGACTTTTACCAATGGCAAACAAACAAGATATTGTCCAAAAAAAAATTTTTCAGCATGAAAGCGAATGGTGAGAAATACACTCGAGAATGGCTACTGGGTCTGTGTACTGTTTTGTTTGCAAACTTTTTGCATATAAACCTTCAACATCCCGTTTTGCTGCAGATGGATTTAGTGACTGACGGAATACTGTTTTAATTGAACAACATGAAAATAGCACTACTCACAGAGATTCAATGTTGACATATTTAAATCGAAGACAGGGATGTGGACTGACACAAAAATTGGAAGAACAAATTAAAGGGGACCGTGAATACTGGCAACATGTCTTGCAGCGTTATAGCTGTTATTCAAACATTAGCTGAACATGGTCTGCCTTTCCGGGGATCAAATGACACATTTGCATCATTGCAGAATGGAAATTTCTTAGGATTGTTGGAGCTTGTGGCTCAGTTTGACCCATTTTTTAGCAGGCCATATCTCAAAATATGGGAATGCTGGCAAAGGTAACCCATCATAGTTATCCAAGACAATATGTGATGAACTCATTGGTCTAGTGAGTGACAAAGTTCGCTCAGCTATTGTGGATGAAATAAGTACTGCTGGGTACTTTAGTTTATCTGTCGACTCTACACCTGATCTTTCACATATTGAGCAATTGAGTATTGTACTAAGATATGTGTCTCCCACAGATGGAAAACCAGTTGAACGATTTATAACATTCCTCAGTTTGAAAAGCCACACTGGTGAAGAAATGGCAAATCAAGTACTGCATTATCTGTGCCAAGTTTGCAAAATAGATTTCTCAAAGTGCAGAGGTCAATCTTATGACAATGCTGCTGACATGTCAGGGTTTTATCAAGGAATGCAGAAGAAGCTTTTAGAAGAGAACAAATATGCCATAGTCATACCATGTGCTGCACACTCTCTCAATCTTGTTGGCCGCAGTGGTGTTGATTGTTGTCCGGTGGCAGTAAGGTTTTTCTCAACAGTCCAGTTACTTTATACATTTTTCTCTGCCTCAACACACTGATGGGCAGTTCTGAAAACATATTTGGGCAACGATCGTGTGTTGAAATCTCTTTCTAATACTCGCTGGGAGGCACATGCAGTGGCAACAAGTGCAATTCTGGAGTCCTACTCAAAGATTGTGGCTGCACGGCCAGCTCTAGCACCAGCGCTCCAAGCATGTGCTTGGGGCGGCACTCTGGCTCCTTTTTTTTTTTTTTTTTTTTCGTTTGGGGCGCAAAAAGCCGGGAGCTGGCCCTGGGCGGAGGTGAGCTGCGGCAGTGGGGGGCTCTGGGAGGGCCGCACGAAGTAACCCTGGAGGGGGCAGAGGAACCGCCCCCCACCGCCACAGCTCACCTCCGCTCCGCCTGCTCCCCTGAGCGCGCCGCCACTGCTCCGCTTCTCCCCCTTCCCTCCCAGGCTTGCTGCGTGAATCAGCTGTTTTGCGGCAAGCCTGGGAGGGAGGGGGGAGAAGCGGAGCAGCGGCGGTGCACTCAGGGGAGCAGGCGGAGTGGAGGTGAGCTGCGGCGGTGGGGGGGTGCATGGAGGGCCGCAGGAAGTAACCCTGGGCGGGGGGCAGAAGAACCGCTCCCCACCCCAGCTCACCTCCGCCTCCTCCCCCGAGGGCACCTCCGCTCCGCTTCTTCCCCCTCCCTCCCAGGCAAGCCTGGGAGGGAGGGGTAGGAGGGGAAATGTGGCGCACCCGGGGGAGAGGCAGAGTTGGGGCGGGGCCTGGGGGGGGCGCGGGAAATTTTTTTTGCTTGGGGCGGCAAAAAACTTGGAGCCGGCCCTGTGTGGCTGCATTAGAAAGTATAGCTGAAGACCAATCACAAAAGGGAGAAACTATACGAGAGGCAGAAAACATTTCAAACAAGATGCAAGAACTAGAGTCTGCATTCATGTTGACCATGTGGAATGAAATTTTACAACACTTTTACCACACAAGTCAAGCTCTCCAAGAAAAAGAATTGGATTTGAAAACATGTGCAGACCTCTGTCAATCATTAGCAGACCACTTACACACTTTGAGGAATGATTTTACTGTATAGTATTGTTTTTATTTTGAATTACATATGGGGGGGCACCATAATCTTTTCAGTGCTTAGGGCCTCTAAAGGTCTTAATCCGGCCCATTCCCAAGGCACACAGAAAGCGTGGGGCCACATCATGAGCAACCAATGAAAGGGAGTGCTAGATGGGGTGAGAGCTAATCCCCAGGCACAGCCACAAGGAGGCACATGTGCAGTGAGTGAAACCCCTTTACATTGACTGACAGAGAACGTTTCCTGTTTTGCAGTGCAATTGCAAAAGATAGCTGGGGTGTCAATTCCTCTCTCCAGCCCATTCATCCCCATGTTATTCTTGGCATATCAGATATAAAGTTGTGCAACAAAATCTATAATTGCAGAATAAGCAAAATGAGTAACTGTTGGTAATATCAAAAGCTTTAACTGATCCCTTTCTGGCTTTCAGAGGCAGTGTGAAGAGTTCCCACACTGCCTCTGAAAGCACATTCCATACAGTTAGAACCTTTTGTGTATCTGGACTAGTCTGATAATGGCCCCAGTACGGCCAAAAATATTAGCATAGAATCTGAACTACGTTGGGGAAGCAAATTATAACTAGAGCTGGTCAGAAGAGTCAAACAAACTTTTCTTCCATTGAAAAAATGCTTTTGTTGAACATTTAAATTTTTCATTGGAAAAATATTTTTTTCTGAACGTTTGTTTTTCAGGGAAAATTTTCAAAATAGAACGATAAAGTAGAAAGTTGTTTAATTTCAAATAGATTTTTTCAACTTTTCAGCAATGCTGAAATTTCAAGGATTTGAACTGAAACTATCAGGATTTCCCCCTTCCTCCCCCCCACCCCCCGACCTGCTTTTAGAAATGGCATGTCAGTGCTTGAACTTTCTTACATTGAATTTTCAGTATTTCCTCACCTGTTCTTTGCCTTTTTTCCTTTTCTGGTCTCTTTTCCAATGGAAAAACTGTGGGAAAGACACTAAAGTGAGAGAAAGTAGGGGAAAACCCAAATGTTAGGAAAGAAACATTTTTAAAAGTGTGAGAAAATGGGGGGGGGATAACATTTTTATTACTAGCTCAAAAAGTGTGAAAAAATAATTTTAAAATATAAAATAAATTTTTTAAGTTTTCATCTTGACAGAGCTTCAAAAATGGCTTCACAGTTTGTCATTTGGGGAAAAAAAGAAAGGCATGTCATATAGAGAATATTTGTTGACCTACTTTCTTATTTACCTTTCCTCTCTTTTGGAAAAGTTTAAAAAAAAAAAGGCGGTAGAGCAAGAAAATAATGAAAATTGAAAAACTGAAAATCCAAAATCCAAATTGAAATGATCATGTAATTCAAAATGTGGAAATGTGAGACATTATTCAAAATTTGCCATTTGTGACTGAGCTCTTATTACCTTACAAGAACAGAGAATTAGAAATAAAATAGCATTTCAAATGTTTTGAAACCCAGGAAATAAAGATTTCAACTAGTGCCTTTGAAACAAAGCACCCACTGTGGCTAACTATTGAAAGAACCATTGGGCCAGAGAAAGAAAACAAGCCTGAGAATGACTCCGTTGCCTAGTGGTTAAAGCGTTGCCGTGGGAGACCCAGCATCCAGTCCCTCTGTGCCAATGACTTTTTAAATTATTTTTTTTCCACAGGGGAACAGATTCAACAGGAGAGAGGATATGGGCTCATGAGGATATGGCGGGGAATGTGGGGTGGGTTCCAGGAAAGAATAGGAGGCTGCCAGATTCAGCAGGGTGTGGAGGAAGATAGATGGGACAGCGTCTACTAACACCACAATTCATTTGTTCCCACATCCCATGTGCCTGGATGGAGCTGACTCAACTCAGAGTAACCTGCAGGCTACGAGCACATCACAGGAGGAGGTCCTATAAAACCATCTGACAGTCATCTCCCAGTTTCACTAGATACAGAGTCAGCAGTTAGGATATCAGATAGGATATTTATCAGTTGGTCTATATAAAAGCTGGGTATAAAATAAGAGAGCAACTGGATGCCTCCACCCACCATCTGAAATGGACAGGTTCTGTGAGTGAAACTTTTCTTTGAGCGTTTTCAGAGCGATGGGATATATTGTTCCTTTGGGCACATCTTACTGTATCAATGGGCTTTCGTGTTTCACATCTTTCTCTCTCTCTCTCTCTTATTGTCTTTCTCTTTTTGTCTTTTCCTTCCTCACTTTCAATTGACTTTCTCCTGGAATCCTCGACACCTCTTTAAGTGTGAATTTAGGAGGAAACAAACACCAGTGTGGTATTTTCAGTTGCAGTTGGCCTCAGTGACACAGTAAATCAATTTTACTGTGGGACGCAGGTATAGCAGCTCTGCACTTTCCATGGCTGTGGCTCAGTGATTAGATTCAGTTTAAATGTTAAGAGAGCAAATTATATGTTCACCAAGTGAAGGGACACCAGTGTTGTAAGTCAGTGCTGAACATATTTATTTCAATACACCAGAAAAGCCTTTGAGATTTTAAATACATTTACTCAAAAATCAAAGTACTGATGCTGCTGAAGTTCTTGCGGGGGTTCTTAGGAATTGTTCCCTTGAGTTACCATGGGAAGGGGGCTCCCAACTGCAGTCTGTTTTTCCTCACAGTATATGTTAGATGCCCTGTTTATTTCTTGTCCAATGTCCATTTGGAAATGTGGATGGAAGAGAAATGAAGATGTTATTATTATTATTATTTATTTATTTGTAGTTCCAACACTGCCATTAAAAATACATTACATGGGTGTTTATGGCTGTGGTGACCCTGTACCATTTTTGGTTTCATGGGATAGTAATTTAGAACATAAGAACGGCCATACTGGGTCAGACCAATGTTCCATCTAGCCCAGTATCCTGTCTTCCGACAGTGGCCAACGCCAGGTCCCCCAGAAGGAATGAACAGAACAGGTAATCATCAAGTGATCCATTCCCTGTCACTCATTCCCAGCTTCTGGCAAACAGAGGCCAGAAGGACACCATCCCTGCCCATCCTGGCTAATAGCCATTAATGGACCTATCCTCCATGAATTTATCTAGTTCTTTTTTGAACCCTGTTATAGTCTTGGCCTTCACAACATCCTGTGGCAAAGAGTTCCACAGGTTGACTGTGCGTTGTATGAAGAAATTCTTCCTTTTGTTTGTTTTAAACCTGCTGCTTATTAATTTCATTTGGTGACTCCTAGTTCTTGTCTTATTAAAAGGAGTAACAGGATTTGTGACAGGATGTAGCCCTGTGTCCACACCGTCCACACTATGGTAATAATTTTTGTACCAAGTATGTTTTGTAAGGTATCAATTGAAATCTAATAATCTGATGATTAATATTGTCCTGATAACATACGTGTGGCAACATTGTCATGCAGTTATACGATTCCACTGTATTAACTCATGTCGCAAACTGAGGTTGGCAAACAGCTCTGTCTGAAACAGAGGCTTGTGTGTGCTGCTTAATTTGCATTGAAGCAGTCAACAGAGTCATCAAGCAGGAAAGGGAGATAAAGGAAGCTCAAAAGGGTGAGAAAAAAGCAGCAGGGAACATCCTTCCATGTAGACCTTTCGTCTCCTGGTGGGGCTGGACACCATTAGAAACTCAATATAGGGGTTTGGTTAGGTCCAAGAGTGCTGGTGGATGCTCAGGATGGAGTTATAGCCCATATTAATATATCCTTTCATCTGCTTTTGCTGAGCAGAGTCACCATTGCTGTGAAATGTGGGACCTCCATGCCTTTGTCACCTTCAGTTTAGACCAGTCAGAAAATGATACTAGTGGAAAATTTGGGTGCTCACTTGGAAGGAGCTTTCCATTGAGAACACCATAATAATCTTGCTTTGAAAGCTGCACTGGCCACGTGTGAACTTCCAGACAGAATTCTGAGTGTTGATTTGAATTTTAAAGCTGTAAGGGGTTAAGGGACTGGGGATCTCAAGCACCACATATTTCTTTGTGTGATCCTTCCGTAACTACACTCCACAGGACACAGAGCTCCTTCGTGGTCATCGAGAGGGGGAATCACAGCTTTCCATTTTGAAAAACAAAAAACTTATCTTGAATTATGGAAAGCAAAAGCAGAACTGAGGTTTTTTTAATGGCATAAAGCAGAGACTCTGGTTAGGCTCCTCAATTCACCTCATGAAGTTAAATCTTGAAGACCTTGTTCAGTCACATTGTCCACGGTAGATGAATTTCTCCTGCACCATTCCCTCAGATCATGGCTGGCTCCCAAAATCATCACATCCCTGTGGTATGCACAGATCTAAGTGAATCTGTGGGGCCCAGGACCCTCAATGGTAGACTGGGTGGTGGGCCGCGTGTGGTACCAGCCACTGACAGAAGACAGGATACTGGGCTAGAGGGACTATTGGTCTGACCCAGTATGGCCGTTCTTATATTTTACAGTTTATAAGAATGCATGAACTGTGAGAGGATTTGAGAACTGACTTCCCTTCTCTGGGTTTATACGCTGATTGTATTGGATTGTAATAACATTCCTGGTTTGTTAATATAACAGAGCTCTGCATTTGAGGTTGTTAGCCTCTTCCTAGAGATGCGGAGTAGCATGCCAGTGATGTTACTGAGCTGCATTGTCTCAGAGAGTGAATTTGCTTCAACATGGGTGTTTTCTTGGCATCTCTGTTTCTAGTATTTCTTCAGCTCTTCCTCCTTGTAGCAGCCCTGAGCTCGGAGGGTCTCCCTCGCAAACTGAAGGAGTGGGAAAAATGCTTTATTGACTCTGACTATGAAGAACTTGTGGATATTGCCAAAAATGGGTTGGAAAAATCGTGTCGTTCAAAGAAGGTGGTGATTGTTGGAGCAGGAATCAGTGGACTCACTGCTGCCAAACTGCTGAAAGATGCTGGTTGCGAGGTAATTATAATGACCAAGAGGAGCCAAAGACAGGCCAGGGAGGCAGTGCTCCTCTGAAATAGTCTTATCATTCCTTTTTGATAGAGTAAACAATGCTGAAGAACAAAACAATGAGAACTTAAGTAAACTGGGTGAATTGCGAAAGAGAGAAAGAAAGAGAAGGAAAGAAATCTATTATTTTGATTTCCAGACAACATGTTCATTGCCTTGAAGTTAAGGTTATTAGTGAAATAATAGCATAGCTGTACGAAAAATAATGCTGCAGCTAAAAAAATTCTAATCACTACCTTTTATGGAAATGGTGATTAGTTAAGTAAATGTTCCAAAAGATTCAAATGCCCTAACAGTTCACATATTTCTGACAAAATTCTCTACCTGTGAAAACTGATATTAACTATCCCATAACAACTTAAACTTTCGCTCTTACTCATTTGTTTGTTTGTTTCTGTTTTGTTTTGTTTTGTTTTTCCATAGAAAGAGCTATTGTCTTGGGCCATGGAAAAGACCAAAATCCATTATCCCTTTAGATTGCCTAAACATCCTCTACTTCCCCTTCTCAAAATCACCCAAGAACTACAGCCCCTGAGTCTGGAAAAGTCAACAGAGATAACTTATGTATTTATATTTGAAGTGCTTAGTTGATGTTGTTGTTTTAAAACCTCCCTCGCTGAAAATCTGGTATTAATAATGAATGGAAAAAATCACTATTACTATGAAAACTTCCATACTGGAATGTGTTCCTTGAGTACCCAATGCAGGAATACAGCTCGATTCTGGAAACATGCTTGAGCACATGATTAACTTTAAGCCTATGCTTAAGTCTTATGAAGTTGAAATTGAAGTTGAGCATATGCGTACCTGCTTTCCTGAATCAAGGCCTGTATGCTTAAATATCATCTGAAATTACTTTGATAAAACATTAATGTTCTTTCTTTGATGGCCATTTACAAAAGAAAGGATGTGGGATAAATCAAGCCCTACCTACAGCCACTAGGTACCAGCAAGGGATTGAAAATCATGACCTGCGTTTTGCCACTAGGTCCTGATTCTGGAAGCCAGCAACCGTGTGGGAGGACGTATCTTGACCTATCGAGAAAAAGATTGGTACCTGGAGCTGGGAGCTATGCGTTTGCCGAGAGACCATAGGTAATACACAGTCCTCACCTGCCAACCTTGTTCAGGACCGTAGAAGCCCCGTTTTAAAGACTTTTGTGATAATTCCAAGAAAAAAAATCTTTGAAGGCTTAAATTTGAGTAGGTTAAAATCTCCCCTTGCTTCCTTATGTGGATTAATTGCATTGCATCAAATAGTCAGTCTGTGTGCAGGGACTGAAATCTCTATGGAGCTGTAACTCTTCCTGCATAGATGGGATGGGACTGGGTGGGCGGGCGGAAGTGCATAGTGGGTTGAGTTATGACAATCTACTCCACCAGCCAAAATGTCAAATGGCATTTTTTCAAAAGTTAATTGTTTAGTGTATTTTTTTGTTTCAGTTTTAGCAAAATGTTTCATGACACATTTAACTAAAATTTTTATTATTAACATATTTATAATTGTTATTGAAATAGTTATTCACATTTTTCATCTAATGCAAAACAAGGTTGAATGTGGATTTGGTAAAATATGGATTTGGGGTCATATGACACACAAATAATGTCATTTACCTAGGTAGGATTGGGCCATTCATGCTCGGGACCATATCCGAGCATATAACATTCTTTCTTATTTCGGAATTTTTCTCTTTTTACTCCTTCTCTTTTCTTTAGGATTGTGCGTGAATTTATTACCAAATTCAAACTTAAACTGAACCCATTCTATAATACTAATGACAATGCCTGGTATTTGGCTAACAACGTCAGGGCAAGATCTGGAGATGTTGACCGAAATCCTAATATCTTGCAATACCCTCTGCTTCCCACAGAGAGGGGGAAATCTGCCAGCGAACTTTATGACCAGACACTGGATAAGGTATGTGTGTTGTGGAATGGACTCATGTACTGTAGATAGGTCTTCACTTCAAAGTTAGACTTTGGTCCTAAACCCTGTCTCATCCACACACAAAACCATCTCGCTCAACTTAAGTGGTCCTTTCAACCCAGGCTAGCTGTCATGGCTTGAGGGCACAGGCACCGGCTTTCTCCTTTCCCTGGGCATGCTCAAACCCAGCTCAACCCCTTCACCCAAGGTCCCACTCCTGCTCCACCACAGGCCCCACCCCCAGCCCACCTCTTCCTGCCCCCACTCCATCCCCACCCCACCTCTTCTGCACCTCTTCCCACCCAGTTCTGGCCCCTCTCCCAAGCGCGCCCTGTCCCCACTCTTCCCCCTCTCTCCCAGCCTCTCCTGCATGCCGTGGAACAGCTGACCACAGCAGGCCGGAGGCACTGAGAGGGAGTGGGAGGAGTTGACCAGCTGGACCGGAGGTGCTGGGGTGTAGGTGGTGGCAGCTGACTGCCGGTGGGTGCTAAGCACCCGCAAATTTTTTTTTGTGGGTGCTCCAGCTCTGGAGCACCCACAGAGTCGGTGCCTATGGCTGAGGGTATGAGTTAGAGCTAAGAGTCTGTGTTCACTTGAGCTAGTAGGCAACTCAGTGTGTGCAGTGAAGATGCAAGCTAAAACCCTTGAGTTCTGATAGTCCTCCAATGCCTTCCCACAATCACCATCCCCGGGTCAGTAGCGTAGCTGGGGGGGAGCAGGGGGAGCAGCCGCTCCCCCTGAGCACATTCTCCAAAAGTGGCACCTTAGGTGCCGACTCCCTGGGTGCTCCAGGGCTGGAGCACTCATAGGGAAAATTTGGTGGGTGCAGAGCTCCCTGCCCCGCCCCCCAGCCCCAGCTCACCTCCGCTCCGCCTCTGCCTCCTCCCCTGAACGCTCTGCCCCACTCTGCTTCTCCGCCCCTCCCCCCTGGCTTCCCGCGAATCAGCTGTTCACGCAGGAAGCCTGGGAGGGAGGAGAAGCAAGCGGTGGCTTCGCGCTGAGGCCCAGGGAGGCAGAGTGGAGGTAAGCTGGGGCGGGAAGCGGTTCCCCTGTGTGCCCCCCCGGGTTACCTG